TGTTGAACGATTTGACGTTTTTGAGAAGGCCGATAATTCAAGTTGAGCGATCCCCGCGGTGTCAGGAACGAACGCCGCAGTCGGCATGACATGAACTTGCTGTATACGGTCGGACCGAGGTATAAGATCGAAATCGGTTCGGGGAGGGTACCTCAATGTTTATCGTGTCTGTTGGATTCTCCGGTGCATCCTGGGGAGGGTGTCTCTGGAGGTTCTGTGTATTTTGACCGACGGAGGGTTTCGGGTTCTTGAAGGACGTCCTTTTGGCCTAGGTCCAACTGTATGTGCATGTTCTATGTGCAAGTGGCTTGCGCCATTCCACCGAACCCCAGGGCAGAGAGCTCTTGTCGCTCGTGGAAGCCATCTTTCAGGAGTAGGATTCGGTGCTTGGGCTCACATTGCAGTTTGTTTCAGGTCTGCTCCAACTTCTGGGCTTTGGAAACTGAACCGGCTATACTGATACATCTCGGGGGGCGTGGAAGGATTGTCGGCGATACCAGGACTCAGGAGTTCCCTTGGCCTTCTGGGCATTTGGCAAGATTCGGCGGCAATACTCGAAGACCAGGGAAAATTGAGTGGGGGAGAGAGGTGGGGGCAGGGACGTTGGAAGAACGACGGTGTAGGGAACAGTAGAGGTGGCAGCGAAGATGATAAGGGTAACGTGGAGGAGGAAGAGGGAGGAGGAAAACGCTCGCTGTGCGTAGGAGGATAATGATGATGAGGAGGAGGAGAAGGAAGAGGATGAGGAGGAGGAGAACAAGGAGGAAGATGACGAGGAGGTGGAGGAGGCGGAGGAGAAGTAGAAGGAGGAGGAAGAGGAGCTGGAGGAGGAGGAGGAGGAGGAGGAGGATAAGGAGGAGGAGGAGTAACAGGAGGAGTAGGAGGAAGAGGACGAGGAGGAGGAGGAGAAGGAGGCGCAGGACATGGAGTAGCAGGAGGGCGAGGGCGAGGATGACGGACAAGAGACGACCCGAAGAGGGTAATAGGAGCGGGGATAGGGAGGTGGGTGAGAAGGAGATGGGGAGCGCGAGATGTTGATGCTGATGTTGCTGATGGTGGTGATGCTGCTGCTGATGATGATTGTGATGATGGTGATGATGACGCTGATGAGGCTGATGATGATGCAGATGCTGCTGAGGAGGATGATCTTGGTGTTGCTGATGATGATGCTGCTGATGATGATACTGATCAGTATGACGGCAATTATGCTGATGATGGCGATGACGATGGTCATGAGATTCATGGTGAGGTTGACGATGATGATGCGGACGTTGCTGCTGATGATGCTCGTGATCGTGATCATGGTGGTGATCATGCTGAGTATGCTTATGCTGATGCTGATGATGGGGATACAGGGGCTGCTGCTGCTGATGCTGTTGTTAATGATCATTCTGACGATGCTACTGCGGCTGCTGCTGCTGATGATGATACTGGTGACGCTGCTGATACTGATGCTGATGCTGATGTTGATCATGCCGATGATTATGCTGCTGGTGAAGCTGCTGCTGCTGAAGATGCTGATGATGAAGCTGATGATGTTGATGATGCTGCTGCTGATGATGATGTTGATGATGCGGATGCTGCTGCTGACGCTGCCGTTGTTGATGCTGCTCAGAGTAACGATGGTGATACTGGTTATGCTGCGGGTGGTGATGATGATGATGGTGCTGATGCTGCTGAGGATGAGGATTGTGCTGATGCTGCTGATGATGCTGCTGATGATGATGGCGACCATTCTCATGCTGCTGCTGGTGCTGATGCTGATGACAATTCTAAGGTTGATGATTCTGCTCATGACGATGGCGATGCTGAGCTGGAGGATTCCGAGGACGAGGATGGGCGTGATGATGACGACAAGGATACGATATCGAGGGCCGTCACATGCGGCACATTTCGTCATCACCCTTGGATTTGGCCGCGTGGCCCTTTTTGGTTCGTCTGTGGGCTGTTCTGGGCTCAGGAGGGGCATTATTGGGGGTCCCTCGGGGCGCTCTCGGGCCGTCTTGAGGCCCTCTTGGGCCGTCTTGGGGCTTTCTCGGGAACGAGCGAAGCGCGAGCGCAGAGGAGCACGAAGTGGCGACGAGAGACGGATGGCGGCGAACGAGGACCGTGCGCAGAACACTGGGAGACGGAGGACGAGGAAAAGGACAGGGGGAGAAGGTGGAGGAGGAGAAGGAGACAAAGTAAGGCGGGCAGAGCACGCGGATAGTGCAAGTCATGGTACAGCGTCACAGGACAGAGCGTAGAGGCTAGCGGCGAGTTGGCGACAGAGGCAGGAGAGGAGAACACTCACATGACGAGCGAGAAGAGGAGACGGAGGAGAAAAGGAAACACAAGGGGGGCTGGAAACACAAGGGGGGCTGGCTGCAGAGTGATGATGATCATGGGTATGCTAGAGGGGCGCCTCTAGGACAGGACAAGTGAAAACTAGCTACGACCACGGGAGGTATGTAGAGGGTGAGGAGCTTCGGTGATGCATGTGAGGGGCTATCGAGATGCCCCTCAGGGATATCACGGACTGCTTTGGGGGGTATTTTGGGAGCTTTGGGAGGCTTCTTGGGGGCCTTAAGGGGGTGTTTTTGGGAGTTTCAGGGGGCCTCTTGGGGGCGCCTCGCAGGTATTGGGGGGCTCTCGTCGCCATCCTGGCACGGAAGGCTCGACATGCCAGTCCGTATTCCTTCTTGGGCTTTTCTTAGGGCCCCCTAGTTGGGGCTCTCGTGGGCCATCTTTGGGGCCCTCTTGCTTCGTCTTGGCCATTTTTGGGGGCTCTCTTTGATCGTCTTGGAGCTCTGGGGCCTCATTGGCCGTTTTGAGCTGATCTTGAGAGCTCTTTGGGCCGTCTGTGATCCTGTCGAGACTTAGGTGCGATTATGCTGAACATGCGCGTTTCCCGAAGGTACGGCGGCGATGCTCGTCTCTCCGGGCCCCCGCGGCGGTCCTCTGGGAGCACTCTTGGACCGTCGTCAACGCCTCGTGGGCTGTCTCGTCTCGAAGCCATCTTGGATCGTCGTGGGGCAGCCTGGGGCCATCTTGACACTTTCTTGGACTGTCTTGCCGCTCTGTTTGGGCCGTCTTGGGGCTCTGGAGAGGTTCCGGAGGCCCCAGGGAGACATTGAGGAGCTCGGACCCCCCCGGGTTCCCCCCCCCCTGGCCCCCCCCCTCAGCCGTCATTTTGGACCCCAGGGGAGGGGGAAGGGGGGGGGGGAGGGGGGCAGCCAAATGTCTCACGCACCCCGTGAGCGCGATGCGACGTGGTCGCGCGAAGACGACGCGCCTGAGTGTAGGAGCAGCTGCGAAGCGGGAGCTGCGCTCCGCCTCTGGCTGAGTGAGCCTGGCGTGGCGCGATCGCACCGCCCGGGGCGAGCGGACGCCGCGCGCGCGCCAAGGAGCACGAGGTGGCGGCGAGATGCGGATGCGAAGGCGACAGCCAGCTGGCCCACGCGCCTCCTCGCGCCCAGCAAGCGGGGGGTCGGCGGACTTCTCTCACGTGCGGGAAGCTTGGGCCGGCGGGGGGGGGGGCAGGGCCGCAGGCCGGCGGGGGCCTGCTGGACCTCGGAGGGAAGGCCTGCCCCAGGCCCACCGCCAGGGCCTCTCCCTGCCCTGGGCCTACCCCTGGGGCCCACCCCTCGGTCCACCCCCATGGCCCATCCCTGGGCCTGCCTGAGGCCTCACCCCAGCTGGGCCTGCCCTAGGGCCACCCCTGGGCCCCCAGGAAGGTCGCGTGTCGACGAGATGACGCATCGTGCTGCAATCAATGTCTGGCGTGTTCGATCCCCGACTCGCCCGATCAGGGGCGCCTGGATGGTCTTGGCCGTTGCTTCTGGCTTCCGACCAACTGCGCTGGAGGAGGACGGAGGAAGGTGGCCGGAGGGAGGTGGGCGGAGGGGGGAGGTGGGCAGGGAGAGGAGGGGGGAGGATGGTAGGGAGACGGTGCGAGAAGAGCTCCAGGAGAAGGAGGAAGGAGAGAGGATGACTGAGAAAGAAGGGAGTGGGAGGGGGGGGAGCGGAGGGAGGGGTAGGAAGGGGGAGAGGGGGAGGCCGAATGAGGAGGGCGAAGGGAGAAGGGTGGAATGGAGGAGGGGCAGTGAAGGGATGGAGGATGGAGGATGGAGGAGGGAGGAGGAGGAGGAGGAGGAGGAGGAGGAGGAGGAGGAGGAGGAGGAGGGAGGAGGAGGAGGCGGAGGCGGAGGCGGAGGCGGAGCGGGCGGAGGAGCAGGAGGATGAGGGAGGATGAGGATGAGGATGAGGATGAGGATGAGGATGAGATGATGATGATGATGATGATGATGATGATGATGATGATGATGATGATGATGATGATGATGATGATGATGATGATGATGATGATGATGATGATGATGATGAGGAGGAGGAGGAGGAGGAGGAGGAGGAGGAGGAGGAGGAGGGAGGAGGAGGGAGGACTCCAAGGTTTCATCATCGGCTTGCGGTCGGGCCCAGGACGGGGCCTCCCCTGGCCCACCCCTCGGCCAGGCTACGCTGGCGCCTCGGGCAGGCCCTGCACTCTGCCGCCCTCGGGGTCTATACCCCCGGGGGTGGACAGACCTCCTACCCTGACACGTCGATTAGCGAATTGGCTGTTTTCGATTCGCGTGAGGGCGTCGCGGCCGTCATTTTTGCGGGTCCATGTCCTTCGGTTTCGGTCCTAGGCCGTTTTCATTAAAGGGTGGTTTGCTAAAGGGAGGTTTGTCTACCGCCGAAAGGACAGCCCTTGGACCCTCCGCTTGAGCTTCCCCTGGGCTCCAGTCGGCCCGAGAAGCCACCCTGGGCCATCTCGAGCACCTCCCCCTCGCGAAATGCTGGTCCCGCTCCCTGAGGAGGGGGAGGGGAGGAGCAGCCCCTTGGCCGAAGGGAATCAAGGAGGCTGGAAGAACTTTCGCCTCAAGCCGCCTACGCCCAGGGGGCTGGTGGGATTCACTAGATGAGCTGGTGGGGCCGACTGGCATTTTTGGCGCCGTGCCGAACCCAGATGCGCAGAGCAACGTGTATCCGCGCGATATCTATTTTCTTGCGCCATTGTTGAGTCTGCTAATGCACGACCAGAACCTGAACATGAACGGCGAGCCGATCGTTGTGATGGATTGCGGCTGCGGCACTCGGACGGGGCTGGGACGAGGAACAATCCGTTCCAGAGCGTTCCGGATCTGGAGCGCCCTGAGAAGACCGCTGCGCCCGAGACGTCTTCCAGAGCATCAGGATCTGAGAGATCTCGAGTTGTCCTGCCCGATTTTGTCTTCGTCCCGACTTCGTCTCAGGCACTGGCTTCTTGGTGAAGGAGTTGAACGCTTGGCACGTCAGCGCCTTCGGCATCGAAGGCAACGCAGCGGCCTTCTGGGCGACCATCGGCCCCATGGCGCTCGTTGCCGACCTGACTCAGAGCCTCGATGCCGTCCCGGTCATAGCTACCACCGTTGGGGCGCTACGGACGCGCAGCAGAGACCAACCGCTTGTGAACGAGGCCAGTGCGAGCCTGACTGTGACGCTGAACCTCGCAGAGGACGACTCCGAGTTCGAGCCGAGCCGCGCAGACTGGGTGCTGTGCATCGACGTCGGCTCGTACGTGCCAGTGGAGCTGCTCCAGCCGTTCCTGGCGAACGTGGTGGGGTATGCCGACCGGGGCGTCGTGCTCCGATGGGGTGCCGGCCCGAATTGGATACCCGTGGAGAGCCTCGAGCGGCCGCTCGGCCGGTTGGGGCTGCGCCGCGACAGGGCCATGGAGCGGCACTTCTCGCTCTTCTCGGGGCTGCTGGGGCCCAGCAGGGGCCCCGTCTTCGTCTACACCCGCGAAGGCGTGCTGCCCAGCGGGGTGGTCCCGTGGCTCTCGGAGGGCGGCCCGCAGCCTCGCACCGTGGAGCACACGTGGGCCAAGACGCTGACCTCCGCCGACACGTTCGAGCCAAACCGCGACGCCCCGCACTTCACGCCGGGCGAGGAGGTGTGGATCGACGGCGAGGTGGAGATGGCGGTCAGCTACCTGCGCTTCTGGCGGGCGCTGCTGCGGCCCTGGGAGGCGGCCGAGGTGCTGGCCCCGCTGCGCCTGCCCGCGGGCGCGGCGGTCGGCGGCGGCTGGCCCGGGGGCCGGCGCGCCTGGGGCAGCCTGACGTGGGAGGCCCTGGCGGCTGCGAGCTGGGACCTTGCCGAGCCGCTGCAGCTGCTGCTGTCCAGGCAGTCAGAGCCCCGAATCATCAGGGGTAACTCGGGTCAGGGATAACTCGGGTTCGTTTTTCGGGAATCCAAGCCCGAGTTACCCCGGACCCGAGTTACCCCGGATAACTCGGGCGTCCAGAGCCCCGAATCATCAGGGGTAACTCGGGTCAGGGCTAACTCGGGTTCCTTTTTCGGGAATCCAAACCCGAGTTACCCCGGACCCGAGTTACCCCGGATAACTCGGGCGCCCAAGGCAGCCCGGCCTGCTGGACGGGCTGGCCTCCGCCGAGGACGTGGCCTGGCTGGCGGAGCGGCGCGGCGTGGCTGCCAGGGCCAGCGGGGCAGCGCCTGCGCCGGTCGGCGCCGCCAGCGAGCGGCGTTCGCTGCTGGCCCTGGACGTGGCCAACGGCTTGTCCGCGGGCCGCAGCATGGGCATGGCGCTGGGCGCCGGCACAGGCGCTACTACGGCAGCAGCCCGTCGGCCATTGGGCCTGCACAGGCAGACGTGGCTCCACCGGCTGGCCTCGCGCTTCGACTCTGGCTGACTTTGCGCCCCAGGCCAGCAGGATAGTGCACAGTATCGAGGGGCGCGGACGACCTGCCTGACTGTTCATGCTAGTTTCGTCTGCAGGTGCACGGGTTCCAACAAGGTTGAGGGTCTGCCACGCGCTCAAGGAGACGGCGCCGAGGCTTCCCATTGCTTAGAGCGCGGGGTGGATGGGAGCAACAGAAGCAACAAGTAGTCCAGCACGCCCCTGTCCACGACCACACCGACTTCAACCGCGGGAGTTCCAGCAGGGCGGTATTCAAGCATTGGGTTTGCAGTCGTTGTCGACATCGCTGTTGTCATCGCCGCTGTCGTCGCCGCCGCCGCCGCCCGGTTCGTCGTCGCCACCGTCGGTGTCAATGTCGCCGACGCGGCCACCGTCGTCGCGTCGTCGCGTCGCCGTCGTTGTCTCCTTGCCGTCGGTTTCGTCTTCGTTGCTTTCACCGACGTCGCCGCCGCCGCCGTCGTCGTCTCCTTCGCTGCCGTATTCGCTGTCGTCGCTGTCGTCGCTGCCGTCGTCTTCGTTGTCGTCGTCCTCGCCGTCGCCGCTGTCGTTGTCGTCGCCGTCGTCGCCATCGCCGTTGCCGCCTCCAACGCCGATGTTGCCGACGCCTCCCTCGCCGCTGTCGCCGCCGTCGCTCCGTCGCCGTGGCTGCCGCGGCCGCCGTCGCCGCCAGTGTCGCCGCCGCTGCCGCTGCCGTCTCCGACGTCCCTGGCGTTGTCGTCGGCATCGTTGCCGTCACCGTCGTGGTCGCTGGCGCCGTCGCGGTCGCAGCCGCTGGCGCCGCGGTCGTCGCAGTCGTCGGTGGCGTCGACGCTTCGCCGTTGTTGCTGCGTCGTAGCGTCGGCATCGTCGCCGTCGTCGCGGTTGTCGTCGGAGGGGCAGAGGGGGGGCTTGGAGGATTGGAGGGGGGGAGTGCCGGGGATCTAAGGGAGGATAGGGAAGGTGAGGTAGAAGGTTTGTGGAGGGTAAGAGATCAGAGCCGCGGGGGAAAAGAGGGTATGATATGAGAGAGAAGAGGGGTCTGTGCGCGGTGGGAGGTGAAGACCGGGGAGGGGAGCAGGGGGGAGTTAGCAGAGATGAGAAGAGGAGGGTCGGGAGGAACACGGGAAAGGAGGAGGCTGAGGAGGGAAGGCGGGTAGTGTGTGGAGGTAATGGGAGGTTGATAAGGGAGAGAAGTTGGGAGGGGAGGAAGGGATGTCTGGTGACGGGAGGAGGGGACAGTATGGGAGGTGGTGGGAAGTGGATTTGGGAGGGGAGAGGTAGGGGAGGTGAAGGGGAGTAGGGTTGGGGAGGAACGAAGGGGCGAGGGGAGGAGAGCGATGGAAGGGAACGAGGGCCTCAAACGGGAGAGCAGGGCCTCCGAGGGGATGAGGGGAGGGGAGGGGAGCAGTGCTTGGTTTGTGGCTTCCACGGTTTCCGTTCTTGGTTTGTTTCGCCCGCCCCCTTGCATCCCAAGGGCCCCCCGAACATGACCCAAGAGTTCGCAGCAACGTGCAGTCTGTATCGTTTTTGTGGCAGGGGTGGCGGGGGGGGGGCCCTTATTGTTCTGGGGTCGTCGCTGGTCGAGTTGGGGGAGTGTGCACGAATCATACTAATACGGAACAGTACTAAACCCAGATATTCTGCAAAACGGCACAGAACAACTCAGTTTACCTCCTCTGTTTTGTGGGCTGGTGGGATTGCCGCATGCTTTGATGTAAGTCCCGCTCCGCTGACTAAGCATGTGTATATATATATATATATATATAGATGTATGTATATATTGGTGCACGCGCATATCGGTCCCCCTTCTTTTGCCTTTGTCCGAATAATGTAGGCAAGGGCGACCGTTTTCTCTTCTTCGGTGTTTACCTCATGCTTCTCTCTCTCTATCTCTCTGGGGCCTACAGATCGATTCTGCGTGTGGCGCGATTGCATATAGGTGTACTTTTTGGCGGGGTTGCACATAGATTCCCTTTGTGTGAGGTGTGAGGAAGAACAGACAGGGGAGGGTCTGGCCGTCCTGGGGGGAGGCTCCAGGAAAAAAAGGGACCCCCTGAATCCGATGGCCTGTTTTTTGTCGTTGTTGTTTGTTTGCTTCTGGCACAGAAAGAATAGGCCAGTGGATCCAGAGGGTAGTTTTTTTTGTTTGCTGGAATCTTCCCCCCAGGGCCCAGGGCCCAGCCTTTGAGCGAGGAGGTAGCCCCGCCGGCGTCGGCGGCAAACCGTCCTCCTCTTCGCACCCCTGCTTCTCCTTCTCCTCCTCGCCGTCCTCCCTCATCCCTCCTGCTCCTCCTCCCCCTCGTCCTTCCCATCCCCCCCTGAGATTCTCCTGTCCCCCTGGTCCTTCTCGTCTCCTCCTCCTCCTCCTCCTCCTCCTCCTCCTCCTCCTCCTCCTCCTCCACTTTCGGACCACCCAGGGGGAGGAGGAGGAGCTCCGACGATGTTTCCGATGGCGCGGGGAGCTCTGCGGACGATGCTTCCGATGACACAGGGGGCCCTGCGGACAACATGTCACCACCATCGTCATCGACAGCACCCTGAGAATCACCATCGTCATCAGCATGGTCATCGACATCAGCACCAGGTTGATGCATGTCATCGGCATCGTCACCAACAGCATTTTCAAAACCATAGTCGTCATCACCATCGTCACCAGCAAGGTTCGGGCGGTTGTTGTCTATGCAATTGATTTGAACAAATACACCCAGGAAGCTACGTCACTCTCGTTGCAGGTCCTGGACATCATTGGCAGCGGACAAGCTCGGCATGCATGGGGTCTTTGTCGACGAGGTCGAATTCGACTGGTACCCCACCCAAGCTTCTGACTTCGAGCTCGATCATCACATGGACGTCGAAGATGAGCAAATGCAGGAGGACGACGACGTGCAGATCGAAGACATGGGCGATGATGCGTCGGGCTCTACCCCCTCCACGGAAGCGCCTTGGAGCATGGGTTCGCCTCTTTCCCAATGCCTCAGCATCGTTGATTCCGACGACGTCCCCGACGAGGATGGCGACGGCTCCGTTAGCGATGACCGAGCCCTGAGCCCGCGCGCCCTGAGGGACGGAGATGCACAGTTCGGCCCCGGACCGTTCATGCAAACATCGCCATGTTCCAGCATGTTTTAACATTATACGTATCCGCCAAACAAAACAAAGCGCAGCACTGCCGCAGTCTTTGGCGGCCTGCGCGTTGTCTCATTGTGCGCGCCGTCGAGCGGGCGGGCGGTCCCTTGCCGCTGATGATGAGGTTGCCCCAGCACCCCAGCTTGGGAAGAAGAACCCCCGTGAGAACGCCATGCCGCAACGATCATCGTCTTCGTCGTTGTCGCTGCCGCCGTCGTCATCGCCATCGGAATCGTCGTCGGCGTCTTGTCGCCGTCGTCGTCGCCTGCCGCCGCGTCAGCTCGAGGCGGGGCTTCCTCGGATCGCTCAGAGCCTGAGGTCGTGACAGTGGGGCGGCTCGCGCGCGCGCCAGGCCTCGTCGGCGCCCCCCCGCCCGCGTTGCCATTCAATCGATGGAAGGGGGCCGTCCGCGAAGAGTGGTTCGAAACTCAGACTGCCTTCCTCGCCAGCGTAGCGTGCGCCAAGGTTGACTTCCCAGAGACGCTGACTGACGCCGTGGAGGCGCGGGCCATGGGCATTTTTGCGCACTGCGGATTGGTCGATGTCGCGCAGAAGTGCCCCGTGCGCGGCGCCCCCGCGGTGCCGAGGGAAGGCTGGCGTTCCGACGACAGCATGGTTCGCTTCAAGTGGGCGTGCTCGTCCCGTGGCCGCAGGCGCAACGACGCGGCCGTCGTCGGTGTCGGCGTGCTCGGGCGACGTCTGAACAGCGTCGCGCTTCTGCGTGGTGGCCCACCCCTGCGTCAGATGTACGCGGAGCGGTGGGCCGCTTGGGGCAATTGCAGCCGCCGCAACTTCCGCAGGTGGAAGATCACGTGCCAGGGGGAGCTGAAGATGGCCGACGAGAAGTTAGACTCATGGAAGATCGGCAGACCCGGCCACGCGGTCGCCATGGGCGAGGCAGTCGCGGGCGCCCGCCCCGACGATGGCATCGAGTCTTTCACCCGCAAGGGAATTCGCTACGGGGCCCCTCGAGTCCGTTCTGGCACGCGGTCGCGGCCCAAGGTCCGCGCGCGCATTGCCGAGGCGCTCCCAGCGCGGGCTATCTGGAAGGGCGACGAGCCTATGAAGAGTGCGGGGGCAATCAGAAGCAAGAAGAACGCTGTCAGGAGACGCCCCGCCGCCCTGAAGGCGAAGAAGAGGATTGCGAAGCGGCCGGCCGCGCGCAGGGGAGTGCGTGGCACGAGCGCAGATCCCAGCTCCAACGGCCGCTGGTTGTGGGCGGCAGCATCCGTCGGCAAGGGGGTGGAGATGTGGGCGCGCGGCAGCGGGAAGAAGCGCTTCGCGTGGCGATTCCTTCCATCCCGTTACAGCGCGGAGAGGGACAAGCCTCGTGGTTTCGAGGAGATCCGAAAGACCATCGAACAGCACATTGCGAAGACAAGCATCTCGGCGTTCGATGGCGGGCCTAGCTCGCTGGCGGCTGCCGAGGACTTGGGTTTCAGACGCGCGCCCCCCGTGGTCTCGGGTGGAGCGACGCGGAGACGGGGTGGCCTTCCAATAGAAGTGAGAGCGAGAACAACCGCTTGAAGCATTGGTCGCGCGTCCGATACAGCGCCCTCAAAATCTCCGAGCTGGACATGCGCGAGCGCGCATGCTACGTGAACGCTGGGGACACTATGGCGGACGTGATGATGGGCGTCGCCGTGGCAGGCGGGGGCGGGGGCCGCGCGCAAGTTATTTGACTAGGCGTCGGCAGGTCAGTCTGGTGGCGGTGGTGGTGGCCGTGGGTGGTGGCGCGGGTGTGTGCGTGGGGTGGGGTGCGGGGGGGGGGGGGGGGGGGGCGGGGGGGCGCCTGAGTCGCTCGCGCTTGCTCTGACTGATCGCGCGGGCGTGTGCAGAGCACGCGCGTGAAAGTTTTGTTTTGCATTGTAGATGATCAATCGGATGGGGAGATGTGCGCGTGCGTAGACGCGCGCGCATGCTTTCATAGTGATCGGTGCATACCTATGCAAAAGCACTATGCGAGGAGGCGTTGCATTTTCAGTGAGTCGTCCTGGTGATGACGTTGATAGGAAAAGAAGGGGGACCGATATGCGCGCGCGCCCTCTATATATATATATATATATATATTTGTATGGGCGTATATTTTTTATGTTTGTATGTGAATATACACATGTATAAACATATTACATATACATATATATATATGTGTATACACACATATATACACACATATATATGTTTATATTCACATATATACACATATTCCAAACCACCATCGGATGCAAACAGGCTCGGGTCCCGCACCCAGTCGCGACGGCTTCGCCCCGCGCAGCCCCCGCACCCGTTCCCGACATATTCAAAGACCCCTGAACCGACCATCGGAAATGAAATGCACTCCGTGATTGTATCACGTGTGACATTGTGCCTGCACCTGTCCGATGATGTGAGGCTGGGTTGGACCACGATAGAACTTGAGAGCGCGCGAGGCGCGCGTGATTCATGTGTGTGGATATACATATACATGTTTTCTTTTCGTAGATTCTTAGAAAAAACCCCGCCGTACATCAGTTCGGCCCTGGGCGCTCCCACCGACGTAGAATGAGAATTTCTGGTCTGGGGAGCCCCATTGGGGCCACCGTTCGCCGCTCGGGCGGGCCCACGATCGCTTCCCGGACGGGACCGCGGAGGCCCGAGACGGCCCAATACCGTTCCAGAGCAGCCCATGGGCGCTCAAAGAGGGCCCAACATGATTTCAAGTCGGATCAAGAAACCCCCAAGACGCCGCAAGAGGCCCCCCAGGGGGATCCCCAAGAGGCACCAATCTTCCCATTCCCTGCAAACAAAACCGTACATTTTCTGCTTACTCTTTTTGTTGGTCTTCGCAGCGTCCAAGAGGGCCTAGCCGGGCCTCTAGATCGCCCCAGTGCGGCCCAAAAAGTACCGAATATGGCCCCGGGACATCCCCAAAGAGCCCCAACATGTCCCAATACAGCCCCAAGGCAGCCCACATGGAACCCCAGAGAACCCCCCATAATTCCCAAGGCAATCCCAAGAAGGCCACAAGAAGCTCCCGAAAGGGCCCAAGAAGGCCCCAGGACGGCCCACGCCTTCCAGGACGGCCCAAAAAGGTACCGCAGCGGGCCATGAGGACCGCTAGACGGCCCAATGCGGCCCAAGAAGCCCCGCCAAGGCCCCGAGAGGCCACATGTATCTTAGATGCTTTGGTTATTCCTCTAGCGCCACGTTCATACCTTCGTCCCTGGGACCCTTATGAGCCCCATGAGCCCGATGAGCGCAACGGGCCCTGTGAGCCCTCCGAGCACGATGTGCCTTTTGATCCCTATGATGCCTATGACCCCTCTGAGCCCTACGAGGCATAGGAACCTTATGAGCCCCGATTAGTCAGTCCTATGAGCTCCCATGACCCCCATGAAACCCACGAGGCCTACGAGCCCTTTGCGTCCTATGAGCCCTACGAGATTTATGAGCCCTCGCGCCCCATGACCCCTATAAGCCCTACGAGCCCTATGAGCCCCTGTCAGCCCTCTGAGCCCTATGAGCCCTATGAGCCCTACGAGCCATATGAAACCTATGAGCCCTGTGAGCCCTATGAGCCCTGTAGGCCTCATGAGCCCCATGAGCTCTACGAGCCCTGTGAGCCCTACGAGCCACATCACCCCTATGAGGCAGATGGGCCCTATGAGTCCCCTGAGCCCGACGGTTGTGATGAGCCCTATGCACCCCATGAGCCCTACGAGCCCCACGAGCCCTATGAGCCCTTTTGGGCCCTCTGAGCCCTATGAGTCTTATGAACCCTATGATCCAAACGATCTCTACGACCCCTTATGCGCCCTTCGAGCCCTAAGAGCCCTATGAGCCTCCTCAGCCCTATGAGACCTATGAGCCCTTCTGCGCCCTCTGAGCCCTCATGAGCCCTATGAGCCTCACGAACCCCGTGAGCCCTCATGAGCCCCATGAGCCCTACGCGCTCTGTGAGCCCTGTGAGCCCTATGCCATGTGAACCCTATGAGCCCTGTGAGCCCTGTGCGCCCTATGATTCTTACGAGCCCTATGCGCACCATGAGCCCCATGAGCCCTACGAGCCCCATGCGCCCCTCTGAGCCCTGCGAGCCCTTCGAGTCACATGAACCCTATGAGCCCCACGAGCCCTTTGAGCAATATGAGCCCGATGAGCTTTGAGCCCGATGAGCCCTTCGAGCGCTATGAGCCTTATGAATCATATGAACTCTATGCGTCCCATGAGTCCCACGAGCCCTATGAGCCCTCTTACCCTTATGGGCCTCTTGAACCCCATGTGCCCCATGAGCACTATGCCCTGTGACCCCTGTGAGCCCATGAACCCTGTGAGTCCCATGAGCCCCGTGAGCCCTATACGCCCTATGACCCCTATGAGCCCCATGAGCCCGGTGATCCCCACTGAGCCCGATGAGCCCTGGCAGCCCTATGAGCCCTACGAGCCTCATGAGCCCTATGAGCCCTACGAGCCCTCATTTGTCCCATGAGACCTATGCGCTCTATGAGCCCTGCGAGCCCTACGAGCCATATGAACCCTAAGGGCCCTGTGTGCCCTATGAGCCCCATGAGCCTCATGATCCCCGTGAGCCCTATGAGCCCTCATGAGTCCCATGACACCCATGCGCTCTATGAACCCTATGAGCCCTACGAGCCATATGAAGCCCAAGAGCCCTATGAGCCCTATGAGCCCTACGAGCCCCGTGAGCCCTATGATTTCAATGAGCCCTAACAGGCCCACCAGATGACCCCCGCATGAGCCTCGCGGGACTTATGAGGCCTATCGGCCCCATCAGCCCCACGGGAACCCACGGGCCTTGCGCACCACGAGCTTCTTAGCCCATGCAGTCTGGCGAGCCCTCTGTGCCCAATGACCCGCACGCCCCCGAGGCCCTCAGATGCCATCTGGGAGGGCTTGTGGGGCTCTCTCGGAGGTTTCTCCAAGGCCCCATGGAAGTTGTCGTGGGGCTCTTTCGGAGACTTCTCCAGGGCCCAGGAGAGGCCAAGGAATAGCCCCACACGCGCTGCAAGAGAACCCCAAGACTACTGCATGATCATGCAGGGCTTTTCGGCCGCTCATGGGGCCTTCTTGGAGCTCTCTTGGGCCCGCCTGGGGCTCTTTCGGAGCCTTTGCCGAGCCCCAGGCACCTCAAGAGTAGCCCGGGAGCGGCCCCCAAAAGCCCCAGGAGGGCTCTAAGAGGTACCCCGCACCCGGCCCGGCATTTTCAGTAGCTGTCAAAATGCCAGCCGGGTGCGAGGGCCCACGTGGAGCCGCTCGTGGAGCCGTCTTGGACCCCTCTTGAGCTCGCTCGGGGCCCTCTCGGGGCCTTCTCCAGGGCCCCAGAGCGGCCCAGGAGCGGCCCAAGATGGCCCGAAGAGACCCCCAGCACCCGGCATTTGGAGCGGTCGTCAAAATGCCGGGTCCATGGGGCGTCTCGGTGCCGCCTCGGGGCCACTTTCAGGTCAAGCGTTCACCAAGTCGGGCGAGGGTGGCTTTCTGAGCCAGGTTGGCCCGAGCGTCGTGATCGATTCCATAGTGGCTCGAGGCATCGTCATCAAGATGGTGCGTGAGTCCGTGCCGCTGGCGACGCACAGGAAAGTAGCGAAAGTGGCTTTGGAATGGAGCGATATGCCCACGAAGCCAAAAAGGAAGGCGCCGAGCATCCGGAGGAACAGTTCGGGGCCTTACTTCTAATTGCACTGACTGGGAGAGCGCCCTCAAACGCTCAAATATAGCAGCAAGCGAAGCACAGTCAGCGGCAGCTTCGAAAGCTATCCAACTGCCTGCGGCAAGTCCCGCCACCGTGCTAGTCTCTCATGCTCGCAAGCGATTGTTCAAGGAGGCACCAGAGACCTCTTGGATGTTCGTTGGGATATCATGGTATGCCTTTCGGGGGCATGTTGGAGGCAGTTTCGAGGCCTCTAGGGCGCTTCTTGGCGGCATCGTGGGGTCTCTCAGAGCTCCTCAAAGGCCTTTTGGGGCCTTCTGGAAATCTCTTCGGGCAGCAGGATCGAATTGCCGGTTCAAATTGCACTGTACGAGCCGCACGAGCCCTATGATCACACACGAGCCTTGTGAGCCCTATGAGCCCTATGAGCCCTACAAGCCTCACGAGCCCTACGAGCCTTAGCCTCATGGGCCCTATGATACCCATCACCCCCATCAGCCCCATGACCCCTGCGAGGCCCATGAGCCCTAAGAACGTCATGAGCCCCATGAGGTCCGTGAGCCTTACGAGGGCCCTGTTGAGCCCTGGGGCATATGAGCCCTCTGTGCCGTATCAACCTAAGAGCCAGGCGAGCCGCAAGAGCCCTATGATCACAGACGAGCTGTATGAGCCATACGAACACTAGGAGCCCCTTTGGCGAGGCGCACCGCGGCAGCGACGACTGCCCGGCCCAGCGCGCCTTTCTGCGGCTATGCGACGCAGATCTTATTGGCGAAGCGAAGCGAGCTTGTGACATTTTGAGCACATATATATGTATATGTATATATGTGGTGTTTTTTTGTGTGTTTCGACCAGACGTAAGAGTGACCTTTCGCCGGGGTGACCTTTGGTGCGGGTGCGGGCCCAGTGGGGTCCCGTGGCGGCAGGTGGCGTCTTGCGCGCCTGTGTCTGGCCCCCCGCGGCCCCCCCAAAACTGCGCATCGAAGGTCACTCTTACCCAGGGTCGCTCTTGCGTGTAGTCGATGTCGATACACAAGACCAGGATTGCAGACGAGCAGGTTCAGGCAGGGACGGTCCCCTGGGGCCCCATCGCTATATGTATATACACACATATACATATATGTATGTATGCATGTATGTATGTATGCATGTGTGTATGTATGTGTGTATGTATGTATGTATGTATGTATGTATGTATGTATGTATGTATGTATACATGTATGTATGTATGTATGTATGTATGTATGTATGCATGTACGTATGCATGTATGTATGTATGTATGTATATGCATGTATGTATATTTGTATGCATGTATGTATGTATATGCATGTATGCATGCATGCATTGCCAGACCACCATCGCAGACGAGCAGGCTCGGGCAGGGACGGCCCGCCGGGTCGGCGCGCCGCTCGCCCTCCCCCCGCCCCTGGAGGGGGCCCGAGCGCGGCGCCCTTGGCCCGGGGGCCCCCCCCCCCCGGGGGGGCCGGGCCCGCACCTGCGGCTGCAGGGCGGCGGGCCCTCCCCGCCCCGCGAGGCCTCGCGGCCTTCAATGCGACGACGACGACGAGGACGAGGAGGACGACGAGGACGACGGGGACGACGAGGACGAGGACGACGACGGGGACGACGGGGACGACGAGGACGAGGACGAGGACGAGGACGAGCACGACGAGCACGACGAGCACGACGAGCACGACGACGACGACGAGGACGACGAGGACGACGGCGTCGACGACGACGTTGACGACGACGACGAGGACGACGACGAGGACGACGACGAGGACGACGACGAGGACGACGACGACGACGACGACGACGACGACGACGACGACGACTCTGAGATCCTGGCGGTTGAATTTTTTCGAGCGGGGCGTTTTCGCCTTTGTTCGGGCCCTGGGACCCTCACAGATCGATCTGGTCTTAAACATGATGCAGAAAGATGGGGTCTAGGGCTCCGGGCGTGAATCTTTACGATGTTGCATGTTTTCCGCTACGTCGGATCCCAGGGGACGACGACGGGGATGGGGGGCGGGCGGGTGCCCAGAACGGGGTGGGAGTGAATGCGGGGTGGCAGGAGTGGGCTGGGGGGAGGAGAGGGGGAGGGGGGGGGAGGAGCCTCTTCCCATCCCCCCACCTGCATGAAGGGGGGGAGGAGGCCTTCCTCCTTCTCCTCCTCCTCCTTTGCCTCCTCCTCCTCCTCCTCCTCCTCCTCCTCCGCTGCCTCCTCTTCTTCCTCCTCCTCCTCCTCCTTCCCACCGCTGGAGAAGGAGCACGGAGGAGAGCGGGGGAGGACGAGGAGGAAAAGGGACGGAGCAGGGGCGGGTCAGCGCCCTCTTGGCAAGACTCCAGCAGGGCGGTCGCAAGTTTTTCGGGGCGCAGCCCAAGGAGGCACTGGCCCCAGGGGGGGGGGGGGGGCACTCGGCCTCGGGGAAAACTCGTAGTTTGGGTAAGGGTGGGAGCCTCCTCCTTCCCGGGGGGGGGGGGGGAAATCGGTCCTTGTGCGGAAGAGGTGTCTTTTTCGTCTTACCTTGTGGGGATCGCTTTTTTTCCGTGTGTCCACTGGCCACTGTTCCCTTCGTCCTCCCTCCCCTCTTCCGCGCATGCCCCTCGTCCTCCCTTGCAACAGTTCCACCGGTTCTCCACTGCTGCCCCCCCTCTCTCCCCTGCTATTGTCGTGTACGGGGGTGCACCCCTCCCGCCTGATATCTTGCTCCCACGCACTGGGTTGTCTCCCAATAGGAATGCCTAGGAGTCCTAGCCCAAGCCCACAGAGAACTGGTCCCGTGCCGCCTCCCTCTCTAGTTTAGCCTTACTTCGTCCAACCATCCGCCTGGCTTCCTCTGTATCCTCCTGTCCGCATGATTTCCTCATATCCGCATGGCTATTCTACTGGCGTCCCAACAATCGCCACACTCAGACGTAGAGTAGATGTAGAGTAGATCATATTAGAGTATAGGAGAGTACGCGAGTGGAGACGAGCAGAGAAGAGGAACGTGCAGTAGAGTAGCGTAGCTCGAGTAGGGCAGAGTAATTCATATAGTATTTGGTTGTAGAGTAGACGAGAGTAGGTTAGGATAGAGTATGGGAAGAGTAGGGTCGTGTAGAGTGTAGTAGGGTAGAGTATAGCTGAGAAGAGTATATCAGGGTGGAAGGTAGAGTAGAGTCGGGCAGCATAGAGTGGATCTGTTGTAGGTCTGGGTACGGTACGATAGAGTAGGGCAGATTTTGAGCAGCCTAGGGTAGATGGTAGAGTCGAGTCGGGTACAACACAGTAGAGTTGAGTAGTGAATATCAGAGCAGGTTAGAGCAGTGCATCCTTGAGGGGAGTAGAGTATAGTAGACTAGAATCGGGTATGGTAGGGTAGGGTAGAGTGGGTTGGAAAGCGTAGAGCAGTGGCAGTGTAGAGTAGAATCGAGTAGGGAAGAGCCGAATAGAGGTGATTGATTTAGAGTAGGAGTAGAGTGGGAGTCAGGTAGGGTGAGAGTAGAGTAGAGTGGGAGTAGGAGTAGAGTAGGAGTAGAGTGGGAGTAGGAGTAGAGTTGGAGTATGAGTAGAGTGGCAGTAGGAGTAGAGTAGGACTAGACTAGAGTTGGTTAATGTAGAGTGGGATAGGTTAGTAGAGTACGGTCGAGTAAAGCAGAGTATAGTAGAGTAGGTCAGATGGTAGAGTGGAATCGAGTATACTAGAACCGGGAAGAGTAGGAGAAGAGAACTGTGGGCTAGAGAGTAAGTTGGGTAGAGTAGAGCAGAGCAAAGCAGAGTAGAGCAGAGCAAAGTTGAGTAGACTGGGTAGAGTAGAGGATGACTAGGAGTAGAGTGCAGTAGAGTACAGTAGGGCACCGTAGGTCGAGTAGATCATTTCAATACCTTCACATGTTTGAGCCTGCGCTGGCTGATATCCTCAATTGCTGTTCATTCCCTATGCGAAAAATTGGACCGTCTGTGGCTATATACCATGAGCATTGCGCGACCCCACTTCGAAGTTTTGTCAAGGCAATTCAGCGCAGTTCTGAGCAACGCAATGCAATGCACAACATTGACTGGCGTTGCTTGGCATTACTTGGAAGCGTCACTTGAAATTGGCTTGGTAGGTGTTTTGCTAGGCGCTGTCTTCCTTGGAATCGTTGCCTGGTGGCGTTGCTTGGCGTTACTTGGCATTGTTTGGCCTTGCACAGGCAGCCCCGAGCAACTCCCGTGGGCCGCCTGTGCCGAGGGTCGGGGCTCAAGAGACGGTCGTCAACGCAAACGGGGGTCAGTCAGAGCGCCGGATCTTGCAGGATCTTGCAGAGGCAGGCTTGCATTGACCTGCAGGATTTTGCAGGATCTTGCAGGATCCCCGAGGACCCCGCAGGATCCCACATAATCCCACTAGATCCTGCAGTGCTGGGGTGCAGGATCCTGCAGAATCCTGCAGGATCCCGCAGCGCCGGACTGGCCCGGGTCTGGACTGACCCGGGCCAGCAGGTCCCCGAGCATGGCCCGGCACCCACCGGCTCCTTCCGTCGACCAGGGAGGAGGAGGAGGAGGAG